GATCTAATCTATCAAGTTATAAACCTAAGTGCCATTAGTCACCGTTTTATGTCTTGGCTCTCTAGGAACTTTTTTCTGTTGCCTGATCCCTTCGTGGAGTTCTAGTGGCTGGAATCATTCTGCCTCACGCTCTTACTCTGTATTATCTTTATGACTTCAGTGCAGATAACAATTCAAGAAAAAGAAAAGGCAGGAAAGTGATGTATTTTGAGAAAACTGATGGTCCTGTTAAAGTACATGAAAATTTTCAGCTTCTTGTTGTATAAGTTGCTGTCATATTTGCATCAAATGAAGAGATGGGAAATTTTGGGAGTTCTCCCATATTTTTCACTGATATGTTATGTATAGAAGAGTTAGAGTCTTCCTTACAACCATTTAGGAAGCTGCTATGAAGGGTGATGCATCGGTCTTTCACAAATAACATTTTTTCAAAAAAAAAAAAAAAAAAAAGAAAAAGGATACATGATGAATCGTTCCTATGACTGCAACATTTTTTCCTGCCACAGGATTAAAGAAGCTTTAAATTCTTTAGAGTCAAAGTTTTCCTCTTCCGTTTTGGTAGTTTTCAACGCTTTTAGTTTATCTTTGGAGACGCATTGTCGCATTCTACAGTTTTTGGATTCATATCAGCCTAGATTGAAAAGAAAATGCCACTGATTCGTATTAAGCATTATTATACAGATATAACTCTAAAGATATAATTCTTTTGTTTTTCTATTGCTTTTCCTTCTTTTACGGTCTTACTTGGTGAACTGGTCTCCTAGTCTACAAACCGCAGTTTCATTTTTGGTGAGTTAAGTTTTGAACGGCTAATAACTGTTTCTTTTAACTTTTCAAGTATTGACATTAGTCCTTATGACATGCGCCCAAGAAGTAGAATATCATGAAGAATCGGGTACTCCTTATGTAGATTTTGGGAATAAATATTATTTTATTCTCCATATTGAATCAGAAACATTACAGATATAAATAGTGAAGGGAAGGAAATCAGTTCCTGGAATTAAGGAACTAAATCCGGCTGAAAAACTAAAAAATAAAAAAGAACTAATCAAGAAATCGGGTAGAATAATACCCAAATCCCTTTATTCTAGGACACAAATCAACCTAATTTACAGCATCAATTTCCTGGAAGCTAGGACATACATCACGGACTTCCCCTCAAGCTAGGTTATAGATGTTGAGTAAACCTAGCTTGGAATTAAGACTTTCAAACGTCTTCCTCGGTATCGCCTTAGTTAGGATGTCTGCAATCTGTTGGGCAGTTGGGATATACTGAAGTGATATTATGCCGGTTTCTAACTTTTCTTTGACAAAATGTCTATCGATCTCTACATGTTTTGTGTTGTCATGATGCACTAGGTTCTTCGCTATGCTGATAGTGGACAGATTGTCACAGTAAGTTTTCATAGGTTATGTTACTGGGATTCTAAGTTCAACCAATACCCTTCTTAACCACATGTAGACTTCTTCTAGATCTCCGTTGAGGAAAGCATTCTTCACATCCAGATGGTAGAGAGGCCAATCTAGACTAGAGGCTAAAGAGGGTAATACTCGGACTGTATTGAGTTTAGCTACGGGGGCAAAAGTTTCCTGGTAATCTATCTCGTAAGATTGAGTGACTCTTTTAGCTACAAGATGTGCTTTGAATCTATTGACACTACCTTCTGCGTTGTGTTTTACGTTGAAGATCCACTTGCAACCACGTTTCCCAGGTGGCAACTCAGATATCTCCCAAGTACCATTCTTTTCGAGAGCACAGATTTCTTCCCAAATAGCTGCTTTCCATTCTAGTATGCCGAGAGCTTCATGTATTGATCTTGGAATATGTATTTTGTCAAGATTGCTAACAAATGCACGATGACTGGGTGGCAATCCTCCATAAGAGACAATTATGCCTTTTCGCAAGGCCTATCAGGGTCGTTATCAGGAGGATTACTAGGACTGGAACTAGTGTTACCTGGTGACTTTTGGAGATTCATTTTTTGGGTTTTAAGTTGGGTTGTGGGGTGGGGTCTTGGCCATGAAACATATAGGTCTTCCATTGGGCGGTAATCCTCTCTCTAAAGAATTTAGGGATTCGGTGGTAGAGAAGGTTTCGAAGAGACTTGACAATTGGAAAAAGGTTTCTTACAAGGGTTGGTAGGATTACTCTAATTCAGTTTGAGTTGTCAAGTATCCCAATTCATTACTTATCCCTGTTTGAAATCCCGGTCGCAGTGGCTAAGGAGATGGGATCTTGAATGATATGATTTTTGTGGGATGGTTTGGAGAACGGGAAGGTAGACAATCTTGTGGCTTGGAAACTGGCTTCTATTCGTAAACAAGAAGTTGGTTTCGGGATAGGGAATTTGATAAAGAAGAATCATGCATTAATGGGTAAATGGCTTTGGAGGTTTCCTTTCAAACAAGGCTCGTTGTGGGCTATGATAGAAAATGTAGTTGCGATTTTTCAATTCTAAGTTAGAATTGTTGGAGATTTCAGAAGTCGAAACAAAATCAGGCAATGATATGGAATATTAGAATTTAGAATTCAATGTTCACTATGACAAAAGAGTGAACAGGGCATTTTAAGGACATAAATGTAGTTAATGATATGGACTATTAGATTGGGGAATTCCTTTTCCAAAAGTATAGGAGTTCGGGAGATAGCATGTTAGGAGAACCCGAATGTGTTGATTATTCATGAAGTCAAAAGAAGGGAGGTTGATAGATGATTTGTGGGCAGCATTTGGAAGTTCAGATTTAAAAAAAAAAAGGGTACATTTACTGGATGTGGGTCTTTTGGTGGGGTATTCTATTGGCTTGGGATGTTAGACGAGTTAAGTGGTGGAGAGTTTCTTGGGGAGAATTTTCAGTTACTATTAAGGTTGAGGAGGAAGAGGGGGAATTTTGGTGGCTTTCCGTTGTTTGGGACTAGTTGGCGGTTCTGATGTTGGAGTCAACTGTGAACATCTTATGATTTATCAATTTTCTGTCAATATTCCCAAATGAATATATAGTTGAGTTCACCACTAATTTAGTAAGGTATATGAGCGATTGACTCTATTAGATTAACTCTGTCTTTTGTCAATCACTGATAACCAAGGTCTATCAATGATTGACACTATTTGATTGACTGTCTCTTTAGTGAATCACTGATTAACAATAGGCACCACGTTGCTCAGTTTGGTCACTACAGTTTACTTAATAAGAAAGAAGAATTTGAAAGCTACCCATGGGGTAGGATGTCGTATGACCTAATGATAGAGTGCCTAAAGAAAACAAGAGGAAATTTGGACACAATTCCACGCTTGGCTGAGAAGAAGTTTACCGAAAAGGTTGGGAGCTCTATTCCAAGAATTTTGAATTGGACATCAGAACAACAACCCTCATGGAACCAATTGAGCAAAGTCTTTGAGTCAAGCGATATAATTATATTTATTTTGCTTAACTGGTTGAGTCCATCAATGATTAATTTTAGGATGTGAATGAAGGAAAAGCTAAGAATGAAAAAGAAACAATAACAAATTTACAAACGATAGAAAGAGAAATAGACTTGTCAAAAAAGGAGAGAAGAAGACTGTGGTAGACAAAGTTGTTGAGTAAGCGTAACCAAATGACAGAGCTAAAAAGATGAAGAAACCAACCGCTTCATTGCAATCTTCATTCACCACAGAATTTGGATCAACCACGGAAGCAGAAAAGAAGAAAAAGGATGATCTTTTTAGTGGTGAATTCGAGCCATCTAGCTTTAAGGTTTTATCCCAAAAAAACTAACTTCTTAGCAATCGTCCAGATGACATATTGTGATGAACAAGTGAAGCAGCTAATAAATGATGGTTTTTTGTTTTTGGTGGAAACAATATTGGTTCTTGTAAACTTTCATTGAATTAATGACAATATGTCTAAATATGCTAAATCAATTGGAGTTATTTCATGTTTGTTATTCAATTAGGTGACAAGCTATTATTAACTAAACTTTCAAATTACCACTAGCTAGGTGTCTTTACGGATACGTTTTGATTTCTAATTAACTACTTTACATCTATAATTAAGTGAAATCTCATCAATTAACACAAGTCTCTAAGATAAACGATAGTGGACCAATCGTAGTTGTACAATTATTGAATAATTACAAGCTTAAACGTACGTTTCTTAAATAGAAAAAAGTCTCGAATTGTGAGATTCAACATCTGAATCATATGATTCGTTTAGAAAAAGATTCATTACAATGACTTGTATCGAAAATACATGTCGTAAGATTTGTAACGCGAATCCTGACATTTTTAAACTCTTAGTCATAAATTTAGCTTATTTTTACACAAGTTGAAAGAGGGAGTCTTGCCCTACAACAAACTACAAAGGAAATACACACAACTACTAAGTAGATATTGTTATTTATAATTTTAAAAAGCAGGTGAGTATTTTGATTTTATTAAACGCAAACATTGTTAGTTTACCAATCATCCTAAATGCTTAAACTGTTAAGAAGTGGGTCAATAATAATTGAAAAGTAGATCTTGACAAATACCCATTGAAAGTGCATGGTCGGGATTTTCACCTTTTAAATTAGATTCATAACATTTTTAGTCAAATAATTACACTAACAAAAGAATATTTATTAAGAGTAAGGGGTAAAAATCTAGACTCATACACTCTTAAGGATAAATTTTCTATTTTTTATATTTTTTCTAATATTTAAATACTCCTCTTCACGTGTGGACTGACAATGGGCAATCGTGTGAATAAATTTATTAGAAAGCGCAATAAATAATGACAATTTAAATAGAAATAAAAAAACACAATTACGGAGATTTGAACTTAAAACATTAATACGGCCATGTTAATTTATCAATTCATCTCATATATTTAAGTTGTTAGAGATAGTAGATCAACAATAATTTTATAATAATATGCAATCACACGGCAGCCCTGTCAGCTTATTTGTGTACCCCCATCGAAAGAAAAATATCTATCATACACACAGGTGAATATATATATATATATATATATCATACTTTATTACATGCTCTGGGGCTTCCATTTAAATCCAACGTACAATGGTAGCCTCATCAGCTTATTGGTGTACCTCCATCGAAAGAGAAATATCTATCATACACACAGGTGTACATATATATATGACCGTACTTTATTACATGCTCTGGGGCTTCCATTGAAATCCAACATATAATAGTAGCCCTATCAGCTTATTGGTGTATCCCCACCGAAAGAGAAATATCTATCATGCCTTCAAGAAGAGACAATGAACGTACAATAGTAGCCCTGTCAGTTTATTGGTGTACCCAAACTGAAAGGGAAATATCTATTATACACACAGGTATATAATATATATATATATATATATATATATATATTATGAACTCGACAAACAGCAGACCTTATCGAGCTTTATTATAACAATAAACTTACTTTGTTATGGCTTCGGCAGTTCGGCCTCAGTTACCGTGCTTTATATCATAAAGCTTCTGTGCAAACCTGCAACCATGTAAATTGGATAAGCGTAAAAAAGTCTAATAGAACTGTAAACTGTATTTTTAGTTATATACTAGCTAATGTCATGTGCTTCACACGTGTGAAGCTCTTTATGTAGGTAACATTATTCTCATTTTTTCACAACTTGAGAATTTGGATTTAATAGTAAATTTTATGCGAGAAAAAATACTGTAAAAATAAATTACATTTGAATTTTTATGAGATAAAACACGGATACAGTAAGAAAAAGTTTGAGTTGTGATAAAAATACTGCAGTAAAAAAAATAATGTATTTTTAAGATATGATGACAAATATTTATCAATTTTAATCATTTTATCAAGTTTATTTTGAAAATAAATTCTTATATTCCATTAAGAATAGGCACTAACAAAGTACTGATATTCTAAATAGAGAAAACAATGAATTAACGTTTAAACTATTGTAATTTATTTTATCATCATGTCGTAGTAATTTTATGCATAAAAATTTAAAATAAATATTATATACTAGTTAGATTGATTTGTGAGAAAAGAAAAAAAAATACTGATGAAAGAAAGAAAACAAAAAAAAATCCTTCAAAACAATATGATATATGACTTTATAACCAACTTGTTGAATCTTTTTCACCAATTTAATAATTTTAAAATTTTAAGTGATATGAAAAGAATAAAAAATAAAAAAGTACATGAGGGCATAATAGAGAGACTACATTTTTTAATAGTAAAAAAAGGAACTCTCATTTATATAATATACATAGTATACATTTTAAATTTCTTGAATGTGCCTCACGATTTTTTTCGTTAATATGGTCTATTCGAAAATGCGGCCTTTTAAGATTTTTTTTTAATATAGCTATATAAAAATATGTCTTAGTTAACTCTTTTTTTTTTATTTATTTTTTCAACACTCTCAAATACTATTTCTCGTATATAGCCTAAATTTTCCATGACAAACACAAGGAAAAAAAAAAAAAAAAGTCTCCATCTGAGAAGGAAAAAACACATTTTAATATGAATGCATTTAAGAAAATTATTTTATTGTGGTGATTAGTTAAAAGAAATATTTATGAAAGTCACTTTAATAAAATAATTTTTTAAATGATTAAAAAAGAATAATTTAATCAAGGATATATTTGAAACAAATTATTTCAACATAGATAAATTAGAATAAAAACATTTCGATAATACATATTTGAAGATATATGATGTTAGGAAAAAGAAAAAACAATAAGAGAAGGGAAAATTAAGAAAAGTTGAAAAAATAAGAGAATATGAGAAAACAAGAAAAAGACAGAATAACTTTATCAAAATAGGAACTTTCATTTATATATATAGCTACAGATTATAGATTATAGATTAATGAAGACACACCCATCATACAATGTTACACAGAAAAGAAGCGTCATTATTATAAATAGAAAATATTAAAAGAGAACTAGCTAGAAATACGTTGAATGTATAATATAGTCCAAGCTTATTATAACTTAAGATTTAGTGCAATGTTATTTGTCGTTTAACTCTTCTTAAAATGTAACTTCTAACTAATCAGAGGTTAGAGGTATATATGTGTGTGTGTATATATATATATTATAATGATAGGGAAGTCAAACTCACATTTTGAGTGCTTCTGCATAGGTTTCAGCGGTATCAACCTCAGAACGTTCGAAGGTAACAGGATTGAAGTATGTAACAGGCTTGTTCAACAAGTCTTTGGCATACTTCTCCAATTTTTCCAAGTTCGCAGGGGAACCATTATCCATGGCAGCAAGGTCTTCCGGCAATTTGTCGTCCTAATTTGGTGAATGTATATCATTATGCATTAATAAGGATAATTACTAAATAACAGATGGAAACTAACAAATAGTCAACTTAAAAAATCCAAGAAAGGAAAATCAGTAATAAGCAAAAGAACATATTTTCCAAGGATTTTTGGATATATATATATATATATATATATATATATACATACACACACACACACATTGTTTTTTGAATGCCATAGGAGATTTGGACTTAGAAAAATAAACAACTATTAGATGAGATTTACATTTTTCAACCATCAAATCTATTTTAAAAACTATTTATTTTGCATATTTTTTTTATTATTTTGATGTGATTTTAACTATTTTAACATATTTAAAAATTAGAAATACGTACTATCGGCAGTACGAGATGAAGGACCCAATAACTTAAGATTAATGTTTAGATATATAAAATAGTTTTGCAACAGTACTATAGGATTGTATACTAAATCCACCAAGACATCTTTTTTTTTTTTTTTTGGCTTAATTTGAATAAAGCTCCTCTTATTACTTTAAAATAATACTCTAATTACCAAAATATTTTACAGGGACGTTAGCAACATATAATCATCGAAAACATTATTCTGTACATAAATCTATATATATATATATATATATTCACAAATAGATTTACCTGGACACGAAGGAAATTTTCAGCACTACGGAACGATTCAAAAAACATTGTGCAATAGTAATCAATCATATCGGAGTTTGCTTCAGAGAGGATATCAGGTAAAGGATGATCCACTTCCGGCAATTTCCACCCTTTCCATTTCAGGCGAATCAACCAGGTAAAATCCTGCCAGTTATTAACCATTTCAACATTGTATCTCTCGGTCTTGTGTTGACATGTTCCCAATGAGAGTACAACAAGACGAAATGAATTGACGTCCATCTCTTTCGACCTTCCTTTCACTGCTTCGGTAATAGCAGCTACAGTCTGGAATTTTTAAATTTTTATTTTTCATCAAACAATTCGGTAAATAAATATCACATATAAATTAGCTAAATCGAAGAATTATACTAAATTTTAATGCAATTACTAGGAATCAAAGTGTATTTATACTAAATTTTATAAACTTAATGCCACTATATAGTGTTGATTACCCTACCATTATTCTGATTTAACTCAAGCATAACACTTTATTATTTGATTATTTCTTATATATTGTTATTAATTAAATTTATGGAATTTTACCGGATTATTAGCGGCAACCCCACCATCAATCATATTGAATTCTACGCCTTCGTTGTTGAACTTATAAGCAGGAAGGTAAACTGGTGCAGCCGAGGTGCTAATAGAAATATCTGAAAGAAGAGCATCCAAAACTTTATTCCCATTATCCACCTGCACAATATTATATCCAATATTCAATTTTTAACTGTTAGATCAAGTTAAAATCATATTAGATTGAAAAAATATGCAAAACAGATCATTTCTAATATTAATTTAACAGCTGAAAATAGATAACTATCGAAATTTTTTTTTTCTGGTCCTCTCAGAAGCTCCCTAGATTAATGACTTAAGTTCCAAAATAATCACCTGGTAGGAGGAAAAGACAACAGGCGAGAACTTCTTGATGTCAAATGCAGGAATGACGACATTCGTCAGGGTATCATGCAGCCTTTTCTCCCCAAGAATATCTTTTGCCAATTTTTGAAGGTATTTACCATCATGGTATGGTTTTTTCATACCTCGAATTTCCTCAAATTTTGCCTCATATGCTTCTGTGACTGACGTCTGACCATCGTCTTCACAAGTTTCTGAAATTTTTAGTTCTATTTCCCCGGCAAAGGTTTTGTTTGGTCCGAACCTATATATGATTAAACAAATTAGTGTTTGAGAAAAGAAAACCTCAAAGTGTCTCGTCCGAAAAACTAATTTTCTGGTCTGCATGCCATGCATGCTTAGTCTGAAAAAGTGCATGCACACTAGCATCTAAAATTCATTGCATATATATTATATGTATTCCAAAATATTCTAGACAAGGAGTCAGTAAATACTATCATCACTGGTACCCGTAATGCCAGGAAATTTGTTGAATGAGGTTTCTGAAAGTTTTGTAATAAAAAATAAAATAAAAAATTATCGATCAGAAAGGCAATACATAAAAACTAGTGAGTAAAAACCAAGATCCAAGTGGAGTTTTCTTAAACCTTCTCCCATTAGAAGTTCATGCATTTGGGTCAGTCATTTTGATTTTACATTTAAATTTTATGAGAAAACTCATTTGCAGGAATTTTATTTATTTAAATTTTTTATGAGAAAAAAAAAAGTTTCAAACGCACGAACCAAACGAACAAGTGGGGTATTGTCTCGTCCGAAAAACTAATTTTCTGGTCTGCATGCCATGCATGCTTAGTCTGAAAAAGTGCATGCACACTAGCATTTAAAATTCATGCATATATATTATATGTATTCCAAAACATTCTAGACAAGGAGTCAGTAAATACTATCACCAATGGTATCCGTATTGCCAGGAAATTTGTTGAATAAGGTTTCTGAAAGTTTTGTGATTAAAAAATATTATAGATCAGAAAGACAAAATATATAAAAACTAGTGAGTGAAAACAAAGATATAAGCGGAGTTTTGTTGAACCTTTTTCAAGACATGAGTTGTTCATGCATTTGAGTAAGTCATTTTGATTCTAAATTTAAATTTTGTGAGAGAACCCATTGCGGAAATTTTACTTATTCAAATTTTTTGTGATAGGACAAATGAAATGAAAACAAATTCTTAATACAGATACTTTGGGGAGGAAAAAAACAAATAGTTCGGTCAATGTCTTCCCCATTACTCACCAGTTGCCTGAGTTTGGGAAAATTTTTGGGCAGTTCTCTTTGTAGAAAGGCACAATCTTTTCGGCAGCATATAAAGGCCGTTTGTCGTCACCGGGTGCTGATATCATTGCCGCAATAAGACCACCAGTGCTAGTCCCTGAGATGACATCAAAGTAGTCCGCAAGCCTGGCATTAGGGTCTTTTTCCAGTTTCTGCACATAGATACGAACACCTTATCATTAAATTAACCCTTCAGCGAAATGATATCCATATTTGCATATATACATACATATATGTGTGTGTGATTATAATAAATATTGTAAAATTTTTGGGGCATGTAATATATCTACCTGAAGTTCAGATTCAAGAAAATCAAGACAAACCCCAGGGATGATGCCTCTAACGCCTCCTCCATCAATACTGAGAACGGTAATTGGTTTTTCCATCTCTCTTGCAAGCATTGCCATAGTGCGGAATAACAAATGCAAGTTTACAAATTGTTGTGGATAACAATTGAGGAAGCAGTTCTATTTATAGATGCTAATTGTGTACTATATGCATAATAAATAAATTGCGAGACGTATATCTTTACACTATTGTTAGTCTACCTCCTAACAACTTAAGCTTTTGAATCGATTAGTAAATTAAAAAAAAAAACAGTTAACTTATATATAAAAGAAAAGTATCAACTAATTGGGGAAAAGGTGGGGTGCCTTAATACCCTTTTATAGAATGAAGTTCGGGATTGGATAGGCCTTAAAATCAATTGTCCAAGATCGAAATAAGTAATGTCTATAGTTATTACGAGATCAAAATTAAGATCAGCCAATAATATGCTATAGTGCAGAAACCATATATGGAGGATCAAAATTAAGAAACAGAGAGAAATTGGAATCTATTTTTACTCCCAATTTAATTATGATGATCATAACCCGGTAAATTTTATGTATGAAGTCTCTAGTCATAAAATCTTCTATGAAAAACTAATCATTACTCTGTATGAGATAAAAAAATTTCGACAACTTAAAGGCGTTCTTTACCGTGAGACCCCAGAAAGACCTCTACCGTTGGAACCTTTATTTTTAACTATTGGAGGAGCCATTTTAGTTTGCTGATTCGAGTTTTTAATTCGAATTGAGATATGACTTTATGTGAGAGCTTTTTATTATAGCAAAAAAGTTAGATGTGACTGTTTCTGAGATATTTTTACTGTCGCAAAACTCAAATTCTAAACTCGAATCGGTGAAATAAACGGGACATAAAAAAGGGGTTAGATATGTAATATGAGCAATTATGTATGGCCACTGTAAATTTTTAATACGAACTTGTACAAATATGACTATTGAAAAATTAATTCAACGGTTAAAATTGAGGGTTCCACCAATAAGTCTTTTTAGAGGGGGTTCCACCGTAGAAGTTGCCTTTAAATATTAGTAACACAACAAAAATGGAAGTTTTAAGTTGCAATTCTCTTTTCAGCCATACATCAAAATTTCGTTGAACTAACAAACTTTGTGATTTAACTATTACTACTATTGTACCTTTGGTGACAAATAAAATTGTTGACAAGTTAGTTATAGCATAAGAAAATTAAACACAATCTGTTCCAACAAATAGTTAATAAATTATTAGTCATACATAATAAATATTAAAATTTATACCAGCGGGGAGTTCTTAGTCGCAGGCACTAATCACAAGATTTTTTGTGTTTTGTTTTTTTTTCTTTTTTGATAATATACAATCACAAAAATTTATAGTTCTCTCTGAATGACTAAAAAAACTCTGTGAATAAAACGGTACTTAGCAATAACTATTAATTTATTGTACCTAAAATCATTTGTTAATAATTTATCATGAGTAAAAATAATTTAAGTAACAACTTCAATTTTTTTTTAATTGGATGGAAGAGTACCTTGTACTTATTACTGATTATCTTATGATATTATTACACGAGGCTATCACAAAAGCTTATTTGGTCATCAAGACGACTTTAGTTATAATCATACACAATTTTTTTTTTCCAAGAAAGAAAAGGGTTTGAGACCACCGACCGGGGTGCTTTAAAAAAAACAAAAAACAAAACACAAAAAAATATACACAAACTTCATTTTTAATTATGGGAAATCATGAGATAACTTTCTCCAAGTTCTTTCAATAGCTTTCATATGTGAGGATGGTCTCTAAATCCTTGGAACAATTTTAGAGACCATCTACCTCTCTCAAACCTTGGAACAATTTCTAATAGCCAAGACAAAAAGTTATTTATTTCTGGAACATTATTTGATAATGATGTGTATTAAGTGAACATCATAGTCTTGTGTGAGGTAGATGGTCTCTAAAATTTGTGTTTGAAAAGTCATTGGTGTTAAATAGGTGGATGCGTTGCGTGGCTTTCAATGAGACATCCTCACATATGAAAGCTATTGAATAGGCTAAGCTCCTTCTAGTTATAACACAGCAAGAAACGAGTGTGAAGAAAAGTAAGAGAGAAACATTGAGAGGAGAAAAAGTGGTGTACGATAGAGAGAAAGATGAGAAAGATTGAGCAAGATTTATTACAAATTTTGTCTTCTCCATTGGTAGCAAGATTGAGAAAGATGAGAAAGATTGAGAAAAAAGTGGATTTTGTCTTCTCTATTGGTAGTTACAGATTTTGGACTTTATTATCTGCCGCTTTTATGTGCCACATGTTTTGTGCAGTTAGGAACTACTTTTTGTAAATATGTTGCAAGATTTATTATACAAAAGAAATAAAAAACACGTTGCAAGATCTCTTCGTCTTTGCGGATTGATTTTTTTAATTTAGAAAGTAATATTAGATATTATTAGAAATATTATTATAATATTCATGTTAGTCTAAAAAGGGGCCTACGTGGGATATTGAAGCCAAAGGTGGTTTATTTGCCTAAGTGTGGCCGGCCAAGAAGAAAGAGAGAGTGAAAAGAGAGAAAATCAAGGGAAAATCAAGAAATCAACCGTTTTCGCTGATATTTCTTTAGTTCAGTCTGGTAGAAACATAACCTGAGATATTCTAGCGGAGAATATCAACTTTTAAAGGTAAGATTTCGGATTTTTCATGAGAAACCACATGCTTTTTCGTTTTGATGAATAGTAACTCATCTCGGAAAAAATCTGTAAAATTGAAAAACGAAACCGAGGTTTTGTCCGGGACTATGATAGGAGTCTAACGTGTAAGTATTGAAACGTTTGAACAAAATTTTTTGGATTAACACTAAAAAATCCGAAAACCCTAGAAATGGAGAAAATGTGTTTTTGTTCAATTTATGTTAGAATCTGTATTCAGGAATGTGAATCTTGACTCCAGGTACTGAAATCGAAAATAGAACGAGTTATTAAAAACTTGAAAAATGAGAAAAATAAGGCGAAACTCTGCCAAAATTTCCTAAAATCTAGTTAGTAAGCAATGAGTTAGTAATCCGATTTTAGAGAATGAATAACAATTTTAAAGCTCGGAAATGAATAGATTAAGATTCAGAAACCGAGATACACAAATATGTGTAATTTACCTCTTGAGCTAGAATTCGGCCTAGAGGGGAAAAAGGTTCAGAAATGAGTTGAAATTGATGTAGGAATCTAAGTATAAATAATTGTGATTTGGAATAGGAAATTTATACCTATTTCCATGAAACAGGTTTTGGCATGAGAGCCAAAGCAACGAGAAATAACTTCCAGCAAGCAAGAATCCTAGCGGATTATCTGTAAGTATAGACATATATGTTTGTCTGGACTCGAGTAAGCTGTAGTTAGACTTAGAACTATGAATTTACTTCTGTTCCGATGTCTATGTGATTATACGTGTTTAGAGGGCTTAGTGCTCTAGATTGCAGAAGGGCGACACATGGTTACCCTTATGCACAGTTAAAGTATGCAAGAAGTACTATGCATTTTATGTCAGTATGTACACGTAGAGAAACGTTGCATATCATTCAGTAAAGTTTTTGACACTTTGAAATGAAAAATCCAAAGTTCAGAAATGTAAAAAGACTGACGGGTCGCCGGCCTCCAAAGGGAGGAAAATCTCAAAGAGTAGAGATTCTGGCTAGACCAGACAGTATGCAGTGGCCAGTAAAGTAAAAGACTGACGGGCCGTCAGCCTCCTAAGGGAGGAAAATCTCAAAGAGTAGAGATTCTGACTAGAGCAGACAGTAAGCAGGGGTCTAGGCCCACAGAAGTAAGAACAGAAAGACAGAAAGCAGTTTAAAGCATGCTTCACATGAGTATATTTGCGTCATAACTCTTAATGTAATTTATACTAGTTTATGATGTATGCATGTTTATACTTGCTGAGCGTTAGCTCATTAGTTTACTCATGTGCAGGTAACAAAGGTAAGCAGCCAGCCATATAGTGGTTTTGCTTGATGGACAGGCAGAGACAAGGGTGGCGGAAATGTCATGGGTACACGGGAATGGTCTCTACTACGCTCTATTAGAAAACAAATTCCGCTGCAGATTAATGTAACATAGAACACTAGTATGTATGTTCAGTTTTAAGAAAAAGATATTACAACCATTGTCTTAGTAAAGAATAACGGACTGTAATAAGTTAAGACAAGTTTTCGGGGACTAGTTCTATATCCGAATCCTTAAAGTAATAGCAAGATATGTTATTAGTATAATAACATAACATGTTAAGAACCCGAGGGTTAAAGTAAAGAAAAAAAATTACCCGTGTATGAACGTAATTTAAAGAGACGATAGTCTAGAAATGAATAATAGATTAGACTATAACTCAGCCTATTAGTAGTAGTGTAAGGATGGTGACCGCGCCGCATGGGCGCGAGTCGTCACAACTAACTTGTCATACACAAATTTTAGAGACCATCTTGCTTAATCCAACCTCCCTTAATCCTTGGAACAATTTCTAACAGCCAAGACAAAAAGTTATTTATTTCTGGAACATTATTTGATAACGATGTGTATTAAGGGTGTTAGTATGCACTAGTACGGAAAAATTAAGAAAAATAATACGTAAAAATATGAGATACAAAACTCAAAAATCATAGTCTTGTGTGAATGAGCTAGAAATTAATGCAAAAAAAGTATTATATTCATTACTGCAAAATAGTATAGGCTTTTTTTGTACAGATGCCCGATGAACTTTTTAAATTTAGTAATTTAGTCCTCAATCTTTTTTCTGGCAATTAACCCCTCCAAGTTAAAATTCTTGGCAATTAACACAAAATCAATAAGAGCGTTAGGGATTTTAACAGAATTGAACACGTGACTGTCATTGGAGGGCATATAATGTCATTTTGCAGATGACAAATCTCATTTATTTGAATATCCCAAACACAATACGATAAAAACACTTAAAATTGGGGAAAAAACTACGGTTAGAGGATAAGTTCTTCTATTGAGAAAAGTTTAACCAATTTGATGATTAAACTCATAATTGATTTGAAATTTTACTAATAAAGATTAGAATCTGAATAAACAATTTTGGAATTCTTAAACAACCAAAAAAT